TATATATATATATATATATGTTATAGAAATTTAAAAACAAAATGTTTGTTGAGACAAAAAAAAAAAAAAACCTGTTGTCTTTATGTATAAAGAGTTTTATCTTTCATATGAGAGAAGGGCGGTGAAGCGGGATAGTAGACGTAATAGATGTTTTAGATGTGTATTAGATGTGTATTGGATGTGTATTAGATGGGTCATACGAGTAGTCAGATGTACATGTAACGACTGTTGGACTAAGTGGTCTCGATAAAGACTTATAAACGATTTTATTTATTGCAGATGATATATTATCATTACCGATAGTATTAAATTTGTTTTTGGAATTAACGTATAAACGGGATAAAGAGAGAGAAATTTAAAAACTACTTACATTTAATTACAATATTACACACATACTGCTCATTATTACTTTTCTATTTTTTTTCGTTAAATATCGAAAAATTCTATTTCTCCATTATATACAATCTAATTTTCTTCTTCAATAATTTGCGAAAACACAATATGGAAAATTTTAAGTGAGAAAATCATTTCCCCTTTTTCCCCAAGTTGTTGTTAATGAATCAAAAAAAAAAAAAAAGGAAAATCTTTTTTCATATTTTTCTCCTCTAAATAGAATAAGTTATTTTTTGCTTTAAAAATAACATTAATGACGATCGCGGGAATCAGATCGGCTGCGTCTGTCGCGTGAGAAACTGCGTGAACGGCTGCGGCTGCGTCTAGGCGATCGGGATCTGTAAAAGAGATTGCGACAAAAAAAGGCAATATGATAAACATATAAAATCGAAACATATCGCATATATATATATATATATGTATATATATATAATTTAACTCAGTTTTCTTATATATATATATATATATAATAAAAATCGGACAAGTTTAAATGAAGCATTGGTTTTGTTTCTTTTTTTTTTTTTTGGTTTTGTTTTGCTTTTTTTTTTCTTTTAATCTAAATAAAAAGAATAGATTATTAAACGCAACAAAGCTTTGAAAACCGAATCTGTCCTTGAACGATTCGATTGACAATAGAAATTTTGTAATGATAAGAAATTTGAAATATGAAACTAATTATAATTATTATAATGAAATTAAAAGTCAAAAGATGTAAACAAATAAATAAATAAAAATTAATAATAAATAGTAGATATACATATAAAATGAAAAAACAAAATAAATACAAAAACAGTGTGTTTTATATTGTGAAACAAACAAAATACACTGTTTGTAAGAGACAAACCGCTTTGCTTGATTGTTGCTTTGTATGGTTGTAAAATGGTGGCTGATTTGATTGATTGGTTGGTTGGTTGGTCGAATTACTTGTGGCAGTGAAAAGGAAGAGGAAACAACTTTATTCACTGATAATAATGATGCTGAGGAGTTTTTTGCTATAAGTACATTTTTATTTTTTTGCTGAACTATAGTTGTTTGGCTGATTATTAGTTGGTTTGGTTGGTTGGTTGGTTGGTTGGTTGGTTGTTTGGTTGGTTGGTTGGTTGGTTGGTTGGTTGGTTGGTTGCTGACTGATTTTGGCAGTTGTGATGAATTGCAAATTTAAATTGCGAAATGTTGCTCTTATTTTGACAGTGAAAGAATAGATCTATTATTACAAGGACCTGGATGGATATTGAGAGCCGTCAACGTCGACATTTTTGCAAGAATAGACGCACGCACGCACGCACGCACGCACACATATATATATATTTCCACACATTAAGAAAAAAAAAAACAAAAAAAACAAAAATGGAAAAAAAATTTAGAACACAGAAACGAACGATTGCTCATATAATTGCTCATCAAGTTGCCAGTAGATATACTTTAGCTACTTAGAATACATAGCTGAGTTTTGTAAATTGCTGTCTATTTAAAATAGGTAGGTATGTTGAACAGATTCTCATTTTCGGAATTTTTGCTACTGTTGTCAGGATTAACTGTTACAATCGTTTTATAAAGGCGACGAAAGGAATCGTCGTGATGTTCAGTTTTCAAATTACTTGTTATCATCGTTGTTATCCAATTTGAACACGATCGACCCCTTAAAAGATGAGAGTTGACTCTTGTTTCCATATTATTCATTGAGCACGTTGGTACCGCCTGCTTGTTATCAAGTTATTTGAGGATATCAATAATCTATATATATAATATATATGAAAAACGTATTAAACAACATCATCACATTATTATTCTCTAATGTAAAACATTCATTACTTTACTGCTAAATGTCTAGAAAAATTGGAGAGCAGAACACACACAAAAATTCTTAGAACGCTAAGAGCTTTGTGTAAATTAATTAAGAAAGAACTAGAATTTTTTTAATAAATTACTTAAAAATTTTCTTGGCAAAAAGAACGATTGAAATTTCTTGAGAACAAAAAAAAAAAAAAAAAAAAAAAAAAAAAAA